GACAAGTCCCTACTTGGGAGCGGCTACGTATGCTGTGTTTTGGGAAAATGTAGTCGGTGAGTTTACTACTTTCTTTTACTACTTTGGTGATTTCACTACTACTTTTACCTCCTGTTATCTTCTTTGTCTTTTTCACCAGTAGAAACAGACGGTTGTTGATCACGTGACTCCCGTAATGCGAAAAAAGTGTTTCCATTGCAGTTTTGCGAAAAACACGTCAATTTCGATAACGGCCGAAAAACCACCTCATCCTAGAGCAAAAACATTTTGTCGAAAAATGTAATTTTTCTCTAAATTGACGTGTTTCCATTAAGCAAATTTATTTTCGAAAATTCTAATTTGCCATTTTCATTTTCATTGTCACTGGAAACGCAGCTACTGTTACATACAGAAGGGAAACTTCACCAAAGTGAAACATAAATCTGTGGATCTGTGTTTGATTACTCTGCCTGGCTTTCTCAAGGACCAGGATGTGACACAAAAATCTGAATTATGGAACTGAAAGTGAAAGTAGTCAAACTGAATTTTTAATAAACCAAAATACAGTTTCAAAGCAAATTAATTCAAATCCATATAATTAAATTCAGTTTCATATTAGTGAAATTCATTTTCAAACCAATGCATTCAAATTTTGCACATTCAGATTCAATCTGAGCAATTCAAATTCACTTCCTGCTGGCACAAGATTCATCCCATAGAATAAAAGCTCAGACAACAGCTGAAAGTTACTTTTTAATTCACAGTAGTTTCAGAAATGTACACCAGTGGTGTCTGTTTTAGTGTCTTTAAAAAGAGATCAACTTTCAGGAACTTTAGAACTTGAACAGTTTCTCTCTCTGCTCTATGTTGTTTAATGCAGAGGTTCTCAAACTGGGGAACTAGGACCCCCCAGGGGTCCGTGAGCCATGTCTTGGGGGTCCTCAAAATTTTTCAATAAATTGTTCATTTGATTTTTATTTTTAAAAAATGCATATGGGGAACAATGCACTACAAAAGATAACATTCCCATGCCATTTAGAAGGTAAAATGACTAAAAAAATTTAAACAGCATAGGGTTTTTAAGGGAGTCCCTGGAACTTTTTAACCCTTGTAAGGGGTCCCCAGACACAAAACGTTTGAGAACCCCTGGTTTAATGAAATATGACATCATCCAGCCTGAATGAAAATGATTCTTTACTCTAGATGATCCGGAGATTCGTGATTTGTCAGCCCAACCGGTCGACCGCTCTGAAGAGAGGCCTCTACAGAACGGCTCCCTGGAGCAGGAGGATGAGGAGGACAAGGATGAAGATGGAGGTGAGTGTGTCGGCGGCAAGAAGCAAAGCTGCGAGGAAGACCCGCAGAAGACGGGAGAGGAGAAGCAAAGGCAGAAGAAGAAGTACACTCGCCTTTCCCGTCTCCGCCGCCGCCGCTGTGCTCACAAAAGTGTCAGAGGGGAGGATGAAAGTGACCTGAGCGAAGGGTTCGAGAGCGAGGAAGAGGAGGAGGAGGATGTGGACGGGGTGGAACGTGCTGATTCAGCAGCTGGGACCACCGTGGAACAGCCGCTCAATCCTTCAGCTGTCAAGAAGGGAACTAAGAGGGAGCCGTCAGGGGAGGAAGGCAGCTGGGGAAGTGGCTCTGAGGAAGAGGAGGAGGAGGAGGAAGGTAGAACAGCGTTTGATGTGGAGACCGACTCTGACATGAACAGCCAAGAGTCTCGCTCAGACCTGGAGGACATGGAGGAGGCGGAAAACTCTGAAAACGTGGAGGGTCAGGCCCGGGATCACCAGGAAGAAGAGGAGGATGAAGACCAGCCCAAGGACGGAGGAGGGGAGAGGGACGGCGAGACCCCTCCTGCCACCAACGGACCCCTGGCGCCGAGCGAGTCCAGCATCAGCAGCAACCTGCAGGCCATGTCCTCTCAGCTGTTCCAGGCCAAACGCTGCTTCCGCCTGGCGCCCACCTTCAGCAACATGCTGCTGAGGCCCCGAGCCTCCTCATCCTCAGGGCTTCCCACCCCCACAGACAACTCTGCCCCGCCCTCCCAAGAGACCCCGCCTCCTCCTGGGGACTTGCACAGTGACCTGAGCCCTGGTGCTGCCAATGGAACCAATGAGAACGGTACGTACATGTGCCACTGCAAAAACTGTCCATCTTACGAAGTTTTAAAATCTTATATCAGCCAAAAACTCCTTTTGATCTTGTTTTCAGACTGATTTACTAAAGAAGAACTGATTGTGTAAAAATAATCATCTTGTTTTCAGAATGTGTAAGATTATTTGTCTTGTTAGTCTGAAAATTTGACTCAAATTAAGTCAAAAATTTCTGCCAATAGAGTAAGAACATTTTACTTGGTAAGATTCTTGAAATAAGAAAAAAATTGAGTCAAATCAAGTATTTTAAGAATCTTACCAAGTAAAATTTTCTTACTCCACTGGCAGAAATTTTAACTTAATTTGAGTTAAATTTTCAGACTAACAAGACAAATAATCTTACACATACTGAAAACAAGATGATTATTCTTACACAATCAGTTCTTCTTTAGCAAATTAGTCTCAAAACAAGATGAAAAAGACTTTTTGGCTGATATAAGATTTTAAAACTTGGTTTGGTGGACAGTTTTCTTATTAGTTTTAATACAAATTCATCTCTTTGAACTCTGACTTTTATATTTGATGTGTTGTTTTTTTCCTCACTAGACTTGGACTCTGACTCAGAAGGAAGTCAACACAGCACTCAGTCTGTTCACAGTGAGAAAACCTTTGTAGAAAAGCTGGAGATCCTGACCAATCAGGGCCTGATGCAGGTGGTCAAAGTCTTCATTGATTGGCTGAGGACCAACACAGATATTATTCTCATGTGTGCACAGGTGAGCTGAAACTTGACACCAAACAAGGATTTTACACGAGATTGTTTTAACTTTTGTTTTTTTATTTCCTTTAGAGTTCTCAGAGTTTGTGGAACCGTCTGTCTGTTCTGCTGAACCTGCTTCCAGATGGCAGCAAGCTGCTGGAGGCTGGTGAGTTGAAAATCTTACAGATTTGTCTGAAACTGCAGCAGTTGGGCTTTTTGGAAAGCTACCGATTTGTTTACCTAAACCCAGGATGTGCATTTGAAGTCACTTTTCTGATTTGTCTGGTAATTTGTTTATATTCGGCACCTCAGTTCTATCTGTCTAATCCTAAGAACAACTTGCACCAATTCATTCTTCTCACAATGTGTGCTCCTTTCTTTCTTCAATCCTCCAGGATCATTACTGCAGCACAACAGAACATCTGAACGAGCTCTAATCTCAGCTGCTGCCTTCTGATTTACTTTCTGTTTCACATTCTGTCCAATGCCAAGAATAAAAATGGGACTTTCTTAAGGTGCTTTCTGACAAAATTGTTAATTTTGCAAAGAAAATCTTTTGTACCAGATTTTATTTCAGTGCAACATTTTAAACCACATGTAGGGTGAAAATTAGAACGATTGAATGAGGTATAGATAATGTATGGACAGCAAGCCTCCCTCATGTAAACAAGCATACATGACAACAAGATAAAATACAAATAAAGGTTACTGTTCTCATATTTGGTGAGAACATGAAGAGTAGGGCTGTGTATTTGCAAGAATTTGGCGATACGATACATATCATGACAGAGGGGTCACGATACGATATATCCCGATATATTTCAATACTGTAAACAAGGCCATATATTGCGATATTTTTGGTCCAAAAATTCTATTAAATAAAAACCTCTTACTGGAGAAAAAATACCCGAAAAACCAAAATTCATCGTCTCAGAAAATTTTAATATTACATCGACATACTTTTGATACATTTAGCCGTGTTCTGCTTTGTATGCGTT